ACGTCTCACCCATGTTGAGAAGGAAGGCAAGGACGCAATGGTTCTCCTTTTCTAGTATTACCTGCAACTCTAGAGACTCAAAAAGAGTCATGACACTTCCCAAGGGGGCAGCTGACATTTGGAGTGACTTAGGTTCCAGAAACCCTCTTATGAATTGATATACTGGCTTTAATTAGGAATAATCTCACTTCCAGTTCAAACGTTTAATTGTTTGTCACATTGTCAGTCACTGCAAATGACCAGGGCTGGGTGCAAAGCAAGTGTTTAATAAATACTTGTTAAATAAACCAGCAAGCTTTGTCCATGCCTTTCCTTACAGGTATGCACATTTAATCTATTAATAAACATCACCTGGCACTTTATTTTCAGTTTCTCTGCATGTCTACTCGCACATGAAAAATTCATTAAATTTATAATTTTTCAGTCACTATACTGGGTGATAAAGAATCTCGCATTGACTGAGTGCTGTCATCGCCCTCAAGGAGCAAATGGCTCTGGTGGGAAAGGCAGAAGAATGAACAGAATGAACTGTGAAATAGAAAAAGTCAATGACGGGACCTCAGTTGTTGTGGAATCATGAAGGAGGGTTGAGTTAACCAGCCAACTTGGGTGGACAGCAGTGGTAGAGATATTAGGGAAGGCTTGCTGGAAAAGGGACTTACCTATATCTTATAGAATGCACAGGAATTAGGAGGTAATTATTTGGAAATGGGGAGGGCATTTCTGGTAAAAGAACAGGAGAAAATCTGCAGGAAAAGCACTATGTGTTCAAAGGGAATGAAGAGAAGCTGAGTGCTGCTAGAGCATCCTGGTCCAGGTGGGGACTGGAGAAGCAGTGCAGAGTCAGATCATATGAAGAAATCATGACTTTGTTCTCTCTTTGTTAAGGAGTTATAGAAGAATTTTGAGTAGAATTGCAAAAATGGTGTACTGTATCTGAGAGAAAGAGGACGGATTTAAGGAAGACAAGATTGCTTAGATGTAGAGATGAAGGAGAGAGATGATAAAGCTAGTCCCTGGGTATGCAACCTTGGTGAGTGGGTAATCAGTGCGAGAATGAAAAAGCACAGTGGTTCAAAGCACTGCCTCTGGAGCCACATGGCCTGAGTTAAAATCTTAGCTTTGCCACTGCTAACTGTGTGACTTTGAGGAGGTGACCTAATCTCTTTGTGCCTCAGTTTCTTAATCTGTAAAGTGGAGATGATATTAATAATATTTACTTCTTAAGATACTGGTAAGGATTAAATGAGTAAATAGGTATAATATACTTAGAATCATGGCTGGCACAGGGAAAGTACTGCAGAAGTAATTACTACCTTTATTATGGGAAAGGAACAAGTTTTAAAGGGCAAAAGGCTGAGTTCAGTTTTAGACATTTTGGTATTGGGATCCCATGTGAAGATATTCAGTAGTTGGTTGGATATGATATGTTCATCCAGAGTTCCAGAGAAAGGGTGTGGCTGGAGGTAAGTACATTTTAAAATTTCTGTGTACAGGTAAGTCCTATTAAACCATGAGAAAGAAGCCAGCAGAAGGAAGGAGATAATCAAGATTAGAGAAGCGATAAATGAAATAGAGAATAAAAATATATATATATAAAAAAATCGACAAAACCAAGAAAAGTTTCTGAGAAAGATCAGCAAAACTGATAAACTCTTAGCTAAACTGAGAAAAAAGGAAGGAGGCTCAAATACTTAAATTAGGAATGATAGAGGAGATATTACTACTGATATCACAGAATAAAAAGAATTATAAGAGATTACTAAAAACAAGGGTATGCCACCAAATTGGATAACCCAGAATACATGGATAAATGCCTAGAAATGTCCAATCTACCAAGACTGAATCATGAAGGAAAAAAAAAATCTGAACAGATCTGTAACTAATGAGGAGATTGAAGCATTAAAAAAAAAACCCAAAACAAAAAACATCTTCCAACAAATAAAAGCTGAGGACCAGATGTCTTTACTGGGGAATTCTACCAAATATTTAAAATAGAATTAACACCAATCCTTCTCAAGTTCTTCCAAAGAATCGAAGAGGAGGGAACACTCCCAGACTCATTCTGTGAGGCCAGCATTACCCTGATACCAAAACCAGATGAAGACAAGACAAGAAAATAAAACTACAAACCAATATCCCTGATAAATACTCATGTAAAAACCTTAAACAAAATACTAGCAAATTAAATTCAACAGCACATTAAAAGGATCATACACCATGACCAAGTGAGATTTGTATCTGGGATGCAAGGATAGTTTAACATGAAAACCAGTCAATGTAATATGTCACATTTACAAAATAAAAAAGGGGAAAACCCATACAATCATCTCAATCAATGCAGAAAAAGTATTTGACAAAATATAATACCCTTTCATGATAAAAATAGCCAATGAAATAGGAATAGAAGGAAATTACAACATAATAAAAGCTATAGATGAAAAGCCCATAGCAAACATCATCCAATGGGAAAGATTAAAAGCTTTTCCTCTAAGATCAAGAGCAAGGTAAGAATGCTCACTTTCACCACTACTTTTCAAGATAATACTAGGAGCTCTAGACAGGAAGAAGAAATACAAGACATATAAATTGGAAAAGAAGAAGTAAAATTGTCTCTGTTCATAGCTGACATTATTTTATAGGTAGAAAACCCTAAAGATTCCACCAAAACTTTGTTAGAAAAGCAAACCAAGAGCACAGTCAACAAAATAATAAATGAATCCAGCAAAGTTCCAGGCTAAGAAATACTATTCAAAATAAATTGTGTTTCCATACACTAACAATGACCAATCTGAAAAGGAAACAATCCAATTTACTGTAGCGTCAAAAAAGGATAAAATACTTAGGAATAAACTTAATCAAGCAGGTGAAAGACTTGTACCCTAAAAACTATAAAACATTCTTAGCTAAAAGAAATTAAAGAAGATACACATAAATGGAAAGACATTCTGTGTTTGTGAACTGGAAGACTCAATATTGTTGAAATTTTCATACTACCCAAAATGATCCAATGAGCCAATGCAATCCACATCAAAATCCTAATGGCATTCTTGGCATAAATTGAAAAAACCATCCAAGAAATGCAAATCAAAACCATAATGAAGTATCACTTCAAACCTGTCAAATGCCTATCATCAAAAAAAATCTATAAATAACAAATGTTGGAGAAGATGTGGAGAAAAGGGAATCCTTGTGCACTGTTGGTGGGAATGTAAATTGTTGCAGCCACTATGGAAAACATTATGAAGTTTCCTTTAAAAACTAAAAATAGAGCTACCATATGATCCAGCAATTCCACTCCTGGGTAGACATCCAGAAAAAAGTGCAAACACTAATTTGAAAAGGTGTATGTACCCCTTGTTCCTAGTAGTACAATTTATGATAGCCAAGACACGGAAGCAACCAAATGCCCATAAGCAGAATATTGTATTAAGAGGATGCTGCATGATTCTACTCACATGAAATATCCAAAGTAGTCAAAGTCATAGAAAAGGAAAGCAGAATTGTGCTGCATGGAGGGGAAATGAGTGTTACAGAGATTCAGTGTTACAAAATGAAAAAGTTCAAAGATATGTTGCACTACAGTATAAATATACTCAACACTATTGAATTGTACAAATGGTTAAAATGGTAAATTTAATGTTAGTGTTTTTTATTTTACTGCAATAAAAAAGTTAAAAAAGAAACAAAACGACATAGGAGTGTGAATAGAATTAATCAATAAATATACGGAGAATGAGGACAGTAGGCCAAGGATGGTTCAGAGATTCCTCTGAGATTCCTTAGTATCCTTTGGGAGGAAGTTGGGAATGGGTGGACACCATACGTAATTCCTAAGAAAGACTGCTTCTTACTTCTGGCTATAAGTGTTCATTTTTGTACTAGAAGTTTTGGGGATCTCAATGGTGGATTATTTCCAAATCTGAATTTTATTCCTGGAAAGATTTCAGTAAGAGGAATGAGTAGATAAGGGAAGTGCAATATTAAAATAATTGATGTAAGTGTTGCTCAGGAAGCATGACTGGTAGCCTGGCCAAGAAACGAGAAAATTCTGGAAAGTACAGATGCAAGAATTCAGGAAGGATAAATGATGGGACTGGAGTCAGTCTAGGAGATGTCTGCTGGCTGTGTGGTGAGGTTAAGACAATAAACAAAGTTAAGAGCATCGGAAGTGTACCTGAAGTCAGCAGGGAAACTAAGTTTAGCAGCATAGTACTCTAGCGACTGGGTTTCCTAAACCAAGGTTGGGACACATGTCTGAGACAGGACAAAATGCTTCAAACCACAGATGTGGTGAAAAGTCCAGGCTATTTGGTAGGCATTCCCATACCTCTCCTTGGAAGACACAATGCCTTGAAAAAAGGAAAAGCCATTGGTAAGATGTTCCAGGCAAGTTGTGAGCAGGGTGACCAGAGGAAAAGGCAGCAGGCAGGAGAAGCTGGCACTGAAGTTGGGTTTAATCACAAATGAGTGAGTTGACTTGGGGCTGTATCCACCCCACTTCCCACAGCCCAGAGGCTCAGTGGATGATGTGGTATGCTTATATTTCCATGGGTGAATTTGAGCATCAGGGCCAGAGGAGAGACCACCAACTTCTTTTTATAAACAGGGCCCTGCTTTGTGGGCTGTCAATTTCGCTTCGTTACAGGCACTAAATTCATCAGCAAAATGTGGGTTAAACCTTCAGTTCAAACATTACAGCTAGAAAGGAATGATGGTGCTAACCCAAGACCTAAATATTAGAAACCAGATTCTAAGTAACACCAGTGACTCTGTATGTGTTTATATCTGTTCTGAGGAGGGAAGTAATCCACATACTTCCGGCAGCTGAGGACTCAATGTTACAGCACTTGGTATATGAAGAGTGTACCTCTGTGGGGCAGCTTTAAAGTAAAAGTAATTCTTCTCCCTCCCACAAAGTTCTATTATTGGTCAAAGAACCCCACCTCTCTCCCTCTCTGTCTCTGTCTCTGTCTCTGTCTCTCTCACACACAAACAAGTGTAGTCTCTTAAAAGTTAAATAATATTCTTTTTAATGGGAAACTCAGTCACTCCAAGTGCTTGAAGCAAAAGGTGAAGGAAATCTTGGCTCACATCACCCAGGGCTCCAATAAACTGTATCTTCCCAAGGGTATTTTATCTTGGGTCTGTCTTCCCCAAAGAAATGCCATTTTCTTTCTCAGCTACAAAAAAGCAATAGTAATTGATGCATCTCTCCCAGCTCTTGAACAAGCATTTACTTGAGAGCTTCTTTTTGGTAAGTGTTGGAATGTGAGCATGGCACCTGGGCCATTCAGGCCCCCGTGTGTTAGTAGCACAACTCTGCAAATAAACAAAGCTTTGAGTTCCTGGGGAAAAATGCAGCTTACACAGCACTTAGGAGTGCTCAAAAGGCCTCTGTTCCCTCTCCATACTAATGTGGTTTCACAAGAAGACCAAGATTATTTTATTGCCCCAGGATGCCAGGAAATTTTCATTTGGCTCCTTCAGATCTTTGGGATAAAAGTGGGACAGTAAGGAAAAGAATTCCCTTTGCTGTCTTAGATTTCTGTTCTCCAGGAAAATATGTTATGTTTTCTAAGATCAGATACTCTGTCGTTTATTTTTAGCTTTGGTAACTGTATTATTTTACATCCCTCAGTCCCCAGTTTTTTTCAAAGGGATATCTACCCTTCTGATTCTTCCTGTTTTGAATCTTTTCATGGGATTCCACTTTAGGCTGAAATACAGGTATAGTTGTTACTGAGTCCAAACTCATTCTGCTCGTCACACGACAGGCCAATGAGTTGGGAGACGAGGTGTTGGGGCAAGGAATAATGACCTTATTCAAAAAGCCAGTGGACCAAGAAGATGGTGGACTAATGTTCGAGAGAGGCATCTAACCCAAGTCAGAATTCAGGCTCCTTTTATTTTAAAAAGGGGAGAGAGTGTGGTTGGTTGTTGCAAACTTCTTGTCAGAATCCTTTGTTCTTCCAGCTGTCCACCTGGGTCAGGTCGTGATGTTCCTGTAAACCTCCTACAAGACAAATGTTATTCTCTGCTCTGCAACTTTTTATCTCTATATGAATGGAAAAGTGTTATATCCTTTAAAGTTAGAGCCTTGAGACCTGGGCTACCCTGTGTATGTCAGGCTCTAAGCAACATTCTTTTACAAAAGATGCAGAACCAGCATGACTGAGCCCAGGAAACAGAGCCCAGGCTTAGAGCCAAAGGAACAGATCCAACATGGACTCAGATCTGTTCTTCCCTATTACAGGATGCCTTTCATACATCATAGGGTTCTTGACTGATGTAGAAGCGAAGGACAGAGAGATTTCCTAAGCAGAAATTATACTCACAATTAAAAACTAACAAAGTAAGCAACCTTTCCAGTGTACCCTCAAACAGTTCATAGTAGAAGTTTTCGAGGTGTGGACTGTCAGAATAGGTTTGAGATTATCCACTTGAGAGCTTATGAGAAAGTGCTTCCCTGACCACCCTTTGTAACACTGTCCTCCCCCTGCCTCTGTCACCTTCAGTCGGCTTAAGTTTTCGTCATAGCTCTCAGCACCTAGCATCATATTGGTTTATTTATTGTCTGTCTCTAGCCACTAGAATGAAATTCCCCATAGATGAAAGGGTTGGGTTTTACCTCTGCTGCACGTCTGGTGCGGAAGAACGGAAGAACGGAATGATGAAGGAATGAATGACCCCGGGGTAGGGAGGAGTTGCTTATTTGTGCATATAAAGGAAACTGAATGCTGGCTTGAAATCAGTTTCAAGAACTCTATCATTTCATTTCTTAATCTCTCACTTGAATAATTCTGGCTCTGGTTTGCAATTAAGTGTTTCACAAATTCCACAAACAATGAGAAAAAAGTCTGTAACCTCACTTCTATTACTGAAGTGAGAGAAAGTAGCCGCTCTCTCTTTCTCTGGCCTTCTCTCTCCTTCTCCTCCTCCCTCCCTCCTTCCCGCCAGAGCACAGAGTTAGAGCTAAAGGAACAGATCTAATATGGAGCTCTAGCTTTTGTACCTCACACCCGTGGACTTAGTTCTCTGTACATTGTCCATCTGAGCTTTGTTTCCCTGGCTTTTCCTGCAGTCCTGGAGGAGTAGCTGGTCTTGCAATGTACATCAGCATTTGACAAAAAGAATCCAAGGCTTTCTACCACTTGTGAACTTTAAAATGCTATAAACATTTCCAAAATGGGAAATAAAAATATAATAACATTGCCACGTTGAATTCATTGGGGAAACAAATGGGAATGCAAATAATAAATCACTTTAAAATTAACATATATATATTTCATACACATTTTCCTCCTGAGTTATTAGATATTCCCTCTCCCCTTCGACTCTGTACTCCAAATTCCCAAATGAAAAATTTACTTGCGAACTGAATAAACATGTTCCATAGGGGGTATGTACAGTAAATCTTATTAGAAAGGAAATTTCTGCTAACCTGATTTCCTCCCCAATTGCTCTCAAAGACTTTTTCATATGCTTTTGATCATAAATTTAATAAATTGACTTTGAAAAATCTCTCCTCAAATATTTGAATCATATTGGTTCTCTATCATGTCCTGGCCCGCTCCATTTACATTGTTTAAGTCGATGCTCACAACTAACTTGTGAAGTTGATGCCCCTTACCAAATGAGAGGTTCTAAGGTTTAGAGAGGTTAAGTTACACACTTAGTCCCACAGAGAGCAAGACAGAGAACCCAGATTTGAACACAGATCATCTAGGCTTCAAATCCCATGTTCCTCCTCATCTCTGTTAAACCTATCGTCTGATTTTCTACCTAGTCACATAGTTAGTTCTCATTGTATTGGAGCTGGGAGAACCCCCACAGATTGAGGAAACATGTCCAGGACTAAGAGAGAACATGTTCCTTAGGGCCTGGCTTTCTTACCTGTAGAATGGACAAGGAGCGCTTTCAGGCTTCTTTCAGACCTGAAATTCTATGGTAATAAAATGGTCTTGATTCAAATCAATAAGAATAAAATATAATTAAAAAATGTAAGTTGTTCAGTGCTGGGAGCTATATTCCCAGCTCTTCTATTATTTGAAAAGAAGGAACATATAAAAACATTACATTTTTAAAAGTGTTCATTATCAAGTATAGTTGTAAATTTAAATATGGCTTAAACTCTTTTAAAAAATTTTAATCTTCTAAAGTCAGGACAGTTACAACTGCAAAAAGCTTCGTGTACATTATTTAATATATACATTTTTAGAAGTCTGACTAGATGTTCCTGATTTTTACTCTTTCTTGAAAGACACAGAGTGATTCCCAGGACAGACTTTAGAAAAGGCAGCAAACACTATGGCTTCTGTGAAGGGGTCCTCACACCTGACAGGGCACGTGACAGGGACGTCCCCAAACACCAGCCCCACCCTATGCTCTGGGGTGGGGGCTCTGGGGACTCCTGGTTGCCTTTTCGCTCTCCAAGCTTTGACAAACCGCCGCTCCTCCCCACCAACTCTCGACATGTTAAAACTCGTTTACTCAAAGTAAAATGGCCAGTCCCAAGGCAGTTCTGCTAATTAATCAATGGTAAAGTGCAGGTTTTGCACGAGAATCTCGTTTTCATTTTGAGGCCAGTGTTCCCTGATCTGAAGTTTTCCTTTTCCCTTTGAGTAGTCTCGATTATTTTAAATGCCCTTTGACTGCCCTGTTCTATAAATCACACCAGTGCTTTCTTTTCATCATGTTTATATACATTAGAATGTTTTCCACTAAATATACACATATTTGTTACAGCTTTCTTAAAGTACTAACAATCTCTTAAAGCACTAGTAACCCAAAGTATAAACATCTAATGGCATTATATTAAACCAAGTCAAGAAAAACACAAGTTGAAACACATTTTCAGTATATTTTCTTTGAGAATGTTACTATTTTTGCCTAGTGGAACTTGCACTTTTGAGGGGACTAGTGGAAGAAAAATCTTAGCAGACTTTTACCATAAACATAGCTTTATGGAGACAATGTGTAGTATAAGGAATGAGAAAAACAGGAGAACCATTTCATTGGCAAGATCCATACATTAGTATCTGGATTTGCCAAGATAGCACAGACATTGTGAAATCTGACATTCAGAATTGCCAAGATCTCAATGCACTACTCAAATGTTGTTTAAAGATGGTCCTCACTTTCAAAGAGCGCCTACCCAATTTGTATCTTTCATCCAGAAATTCTGCTATCTAAACATCCCAGAGACTTTGAAATGGAAATTGTCTCCATAAAGCAATATTTTTTTAGGGGAGCAGCCAAACTCTCAGGGAAAAATGTCCTTTAAAATCTTTATCAAAGCGGATAAAACTTCAGATTGAAATTCCCCGTGCATTTGATGTGAAAGCCAGTTCATACTTTGCCTATATATTTTTATGAAATGATCTTAGGTCAGGATGCAACGTTTATCTCATTTGAAGAATGAATTCCAGAAGGAAAGTTAGAGCAGTTCACTGAACAGGTGAACACGGTATCTCTGAAAGAAGTAATCCCATCTATTGAATCTAGCTTACATTTTCCAGTATGGTTGGTAAAGGAAATTGTATATGAAAAATACAATAGCAGGCAGGTTAAATATTTTAGTAGTAGCTTCATTTTAAAATGACAATAAACAGAGAAGCCATTTACCAAAAAAAAATCTCATGTGTATATGCGGGCTTAGTTAGGCATGTGCACCCACATGTGCGCACACACACACACACACACACACACACACACATCCTTTCCGATCCTGCCGGATTTACCTATGGTCTGGAGGGTAAGATTTTCATCAGGTTATGGAATTAAGTCTAACCTTACTTTCTCATGTTAAGCATTTGTTCTGACATATGGTATTTTTTTTTCTCCTTCCTTCCAACCTTGTTGGATTTTTTATTCCATTTTTATAGGACAGCTTTGACTCTGCACTAAACCACGCCACTAACACGTTACTTAATCTAACTGGCACATTGTAAAATTTTACACATGCGCTCATCCAGATAATTACACAATTAATTTTCACTCAGTTCAGCTGAAACAGGGATAATGAAATTTCCACTGGTGTACTGTTACGTCCAGGGGCCAAGGGTCAGTTTCCTGTTTGGATAAGGGTGAGTTTAAAGAGGATTTCTGACAGTCTCCTTACTTCAACTGGTTCTAAAAACATTGCAATGGAATTTCAATTTACAGCTCAGTTCAATGAAAGGAGCAGATGTTGGGAGGGTGCCACTGCCAGGCAAGAGCCTCCTTCCACACAGGTGTGCACGGGAAACCATCAGCTCTTGCTTTAAAGATGTCTCTCTTTTACCTTTCATTCTGGAGTGAAAAAGTGGCGGACAGGCACTTGGAATTCATTTTCCCCGCAAGATTTAGACATCTGCTGAAATGTGATATTAAAGCAAAGATCTCACTTCCCACTGCCTTTCATTCTACAGAAAAGCAGTAGAATCTCCATGACTTAATTGTCCTTGAATTTAGAGGATACTTGAAATCATATTCCTGTGAAATTTCTTTAGAGAGTGAAATGGGCCCAGGATCTCGGTTTTCTTGGTGGTAAAAGTGTAGAAATTTTACTTTGAAAGAAAGCATAAATCTTAATCTCTCCTTGACAATTTGCTTGTTTTGCTATAATTTTCAGGTTTAAATGTCTCATCTTTAACGCTAGTTGAGTATTATACAAGCAGCCGTGGAAGCTGCTCAACAAGGATATTATGGATATCTTGACTAATCCATTTTCTTTCTTCAAAAAATTCTTTTCACTGAAGAGTCAGACATAATGCTAAAACTCTACCTGTGGTTGAAAGAGGAACTGGGTTCTAATACAAGTCAGCTTTATGTTAAATTATTATGCATGTAAAATGGTCATTGTGTGATGGTAATAAAAATGCCTGACCACAGCTCTATCTGTTCATGACTATGACTTCTGTGGGTTCTCTGTTTTGATGTCGATTCCT